ATGCACATGGATTTGGATTGCTTAAGAATCCCGAGTTTTCCACTTTCCACTTTCCACCAAGTACGCGATGCTCCCCTGTCTGTGGGCCACATGCAGTATAACAGAATATGTGAAGTGACTTATTAATTGGCAGCGGATGTGTACAATAATTTCGACAGGGAGGGGACTGGACAACGGCTTTAGCTGGGCTAGATAGAGTTGGACTTTATTTTACCGAAATTCCTGGAAGGTCAACAAATTACAGCTCCAAGACGGACAAGACAACGAAAACAAACCCTCAGCAATGTTGAAAGTAGTTGTATCTTGTTTTTTCCTCTTGCTGTTGCTCTTGTAAATTTTTTGTGATGACTCATTGCCAAGTTCAAATGTCACGGCAAAGGGGCAGCAATGCAGACGAAGACGACGCCACTTGGCCTCAGGTTTCCATAGTTTTCCTGGTATACCGTACACACGCGTCTGTCGCCCGCTCTCAAGATATCACACCGAAAATATTTCATCTTTTCGTCACTTTGGAAAACACAAAAGAAACAACAACAAACACGAAAAAATGCCGAAACCCAAAGATGCTGCTTTGACATGGGCGCGTCCAAGGTACCGTTAGGACACGATATCGGATTATCGAATTATCGGACTATCGGACTACCGGCGTATCGAAACAAGGCCAGCGATTGTTCAAGTACTTGACTTCATAATGTCATCTAATAAATATCCCAAGTTTTAGCTCCATTAATCATGCTCCTTACTCTGCGTAAAGCCTAAAATTCGTTTGGGAGCCGAACCGGTTTGAACCCGGAATGCCAAGCTGTTCATATACCGTTAACTGCAGTAAACTAGTTGACGTAGGAACAGCCGAGCAGACATCTGAGCCGAAACGTACCTTATCAAAATGTGGTTCACTTTTTGGTTCATGTCTCGGTTCAGATTTGGGTTCGGCTGTTCCTAAGTCAGCTATACAATATTTTACGTTTACGCACGGCTGTGGAAAACCCAGTCCACAAACAAAAGCTTAAGGTGAGGCATTGTTCCGAACCATGAACCGAACCAGTGAACGATCAGAACATGTTCAGGCCATTTTCTGTCTGTTCCCATTGTAGTTTTTGATGCCTAGCTTAGGAGCTTATTTTTTCCCCCTTTTTTACTGGCAACTGGCAAATTGCCGTCCACTTTTCATGTTGTTCCGAACCGAGCTACAACCTTTTATCGTTGCAATTCATGTCGTTGTCAAAGGTGGTTGGCTTCGGCATGTTTTTTTTTTCTCTTTCTATCTTTCGATTTTTTACGGTCAATGTTTTCTTTTGCTTTCGATTCTTGTAGGCCCAAAGCGCACTGAATCCTAAAAATGCTGTTGCCCTTTTCTTCTTATTTTTGTTGTTGTTGCTGCTGTGGCGCTCCATATCGGTATTTGGCATCTGTTACTACATGTGGCATGTATCTCTGTATCTGCAGCCGTATTTGTATCTCTATCTGTGTTTGACATGCATGCGTGCGGCTTCCAGGCCAAGCCCCGGCCCAGACCCAGGCCCAGGCCCAGGCCCAGGCCCAACGCTGTCGACGTGTTGACATGTTTATCATTGTTATTATTTATGTTTAGATTTGAATGTCAATGTCGATGGCATCGACTTGGGCATCGGCATCGGCATCGGCATTGGCATTGGCATTCGATTGCAGACTTTTTCCCAGCGCTTTTACTGCGCCCGCTTTTGGGTCGCCTTGTAGCTGGATCTGGGGGAAAGTGTTTGCTGGCAGCGGGTGTCCGGGCGGGAGGTCGGGCGGGCTGGCTGGGGTTACCCCTGGGTGCCGCATGTTTGCGGGGTTTATTGTGCGCACTTTGAACTTTGATGGCATTAAGTTGTCAATTTGCGTTTTGACTTACGAAAGGCATAAATCGACAGCCGGCAGGCACCCGGCACCCGGCACCCGACTCCGAATCCAAATCCAAATCCGGCGCTGCCAGCGAGGCGAGAAATTTCAAATGAAAAGGATTTATCTTGTTGTAGAATGTGAAATCTTTTTAGGCCTCGCTGCTGTCGATTGATATCGGCTATCTTTATATTCTGGCATTCCCGGATTTTGTATATCTTTTCCTTTGGGGGGTTATGCCATTAGCTCAAACAATTAAATTGACCCTAGAAAGCGGCCAAAGCTCTTAACTTATGGTTTTTACTTTTTGGAATTTTCTTGAAATTAAAATATTAACGGTCAACATCACATTAATTAGTTCCCAACAAAACAAAAAACTTGGTCTGAAAGTGAAAACGAGAACATTAAAAAACTTACAAAAATTGAATAAAAGTGAAAATGAAAATGAAGAAGTGGCAAGAAGAAGACAAGACAGCGGCAAACCAGAAAACCAACTAAAAAAAAAACACCCAAGAAACAAAAGAAATTAATTTCCATTGAATTCCAAATGCCACTTGGAAGATGCTTCGCTATAACAACAACAACCACAACAACAACAACAACCGAAACCGAAGTCAAACATTCGAAAGACAAAGAAATTTTTTAATTGATTTCACTTAAAGTACCAACAAAACAACAAGAAGCTGAAGAAGACAAAGCACAGGAAAAGTACCAGCGAAAAAAGCTGTTGTTTTTGGACTCGGAGTCGATATTTGGGAAAGGCCAGTGCCAGAACGCAGAGCCCAGATCCATCCCAAATACACTTGACCATTAAAAAGTAAACTCCAATACACACACATACACACGCAGAGAGAGAGAGGCCGGAATGTGCGAGTTCCAAGTGGGCATAATTGGCCATTATGTGGGCCTAAAAAACGGCAGCAACAGCCGCTGCCATTGGACCTCCCCAAAGGGTGTGAGCGGGGGATGGAGGCATATTGAAGAGGCGGCCAATTAAAAGTAGCGTGAAATACAATTTGGCAACAACAACAACAACAACAACAATACTGCATGGCACTCGTAATAATCATAATGGATACCAACATGTTCAAGTTGAAGTTGCGGATTTCAATAAACTCACACCCTGCTTCACCCACTCCCCGCCCCTAGGAAACAGAAATGAAATGCCAAGCCCAGAGTCCAGTGGCAGTTGCTAGAACTGGAGCTGGTTCCGGAGCCGAGTCAGTTGTAATATTTTTGTATTTGTTTTGTGCGAATTGCGTGAAAAGTTAATGTAAGCGGATGAGCTTAGCTCCATCGAAGGCAGCCAGGGGCTGAGCAAGATGAAATGGGGCGGGTCTGGTAAAGCTATTGGGAGCTGGCTGTTTTTGAGTGGTTAAGCGGAGATTTGGCATTTTCAGTTGGCTTTGCACTGATTGATTCCGATGCTGAACAGTGTGAATTCTGCAGGGGCTTAGTGAGACCCAGTTGCTCCGTTTCTCTCCTGCCTAGAGCTGACCTTTGCCAAGCCAAATGTTCTTAAACAATGCACCAAGGTATTTGGGCTAGACAATTCTAGACAAATTGAAAATGTGACAAGTAGAAATTGATTTTCTTTGAAAATGTTTCTGGAAAATGTCTATTTTATTTTCTTGAACGTGAAAACTGAATGGGAATTGTTGGGCCCGCACCTAGTCCCACGCACACAAACACAAACACACACACACACACACACACACACACACTCTCCTACCCATTCTACGCTCTATGTAAATTTCTCAATTAGTTGCAAACAAACAAAGCAAAGAAATGCATTTTCCAGCTGTCATTAATCATGCAGCCCAACTATCTATCCCTCCATAGACATAGACCCATCCGAGTGCAACTCAGCAAGAGTCCAGTTGCGGTTCCAGTTCCCAGTTGCCACTTACCACATTTTTGGTGGCCAGCTAATGCGCATAGCCGAGCCGAACACACGCGCAGTTACAAAAAAAATAGGAAAAAAACCCAAAACGAATTTCAAGAAATGGAAATATTGAACTCAAACTATATCGATAAGTATAAAAAATGCATTTTCTATTTCTAATCTCGACTAAATACATCCCCTACATTTGTTGACGTTAAGTTTGAAAAGTAAAGTTCCTTCGTGAGATTATAAACGAAATAAAGAAAATTCCTATTTGAGGTCATATGAAAAGATGATCCGAAAGCCCATTAAGAACATTTACAGGGTATGTAAAAGCAAGAATGTAACGCTTTTTTCGGTATACCGATGTGTAAATACCCTTGCAGTTCTATTAGACACGGGCCAGATATATCGGGAGAACATTGAAGCTCGTAATTCCTTGGCTCGGTCAATATATAAGTAAAAGCAACAAATTCATATAAGATTATAATATTCTCTTAAAAAAGTACGCATCTGAATTACCAAAGATTCTGAACTTTAAGAATAGAAGATAAGATAAGAAAAGCATATAAGATAATACCACGATCTATACCTACATATATGATGATCTATGTATGTATGTATGGAGAAAAAGGTACTTGTTATTGAAGGAAGCGTTTAAGACATGGCCCTTGAATACATATATGCTAGAGTATGTGTATGCCCACACACACACATAGTATGTAATAACTATATATGAAGATCGATTCCTAAGCCTATTCAGTATTCATGCTTGCAATTTAAAGGTAAAGCTTAAAAAGCGTTGAGCATCTTGAATTACTTTTGCAGAAGGAACACATTTATCTCATGATCAGCTCTTGTATCAGGGTCCTGGCCTTTATAGTACATTCGACTTGAATTGCCGGCAACAATACTATTTACAACACTAGCGAAATTAATACCAACAACAACAACAACAACTGCAGCAGTTGACTCTGACACTGCGATTTAGTCACACAGTCAAAGTCGTTGCGTTCTCTTTGTCATCTGGCTCTCTTTACATCTCTCTCCGTCACACACACGCTTCCTCTCTCTATCTGCAATTGGGAGATCTGTTGGACAACAACTCAAGTGAACTCAACTCGTAGCCGCACTACACACGTTCGTTTGACGCTCTTCAGCGCGCGCTCTCTCTCTCTCTCCCTCTCTACGACGGCTGCTGCTGCTGGTGGCTCGGGGCCACGACGCCCGCACACATTTTCAAGCCTCATTCCATAAACAACTGTGAACGTGAACGGTAACGGTGCGTGCGTAGCAGCTCTGCCTAAACGTCAACTCGGGATCGTTAAACGGGGCTCATCTCGAGCTACCCCCCTCCCAACCAATCGAACTATTCAACCAGCTAAGCAACTGAATCGCACAGAAACGAAATAAATGAACAGTGACAAAAAGTGCTTTATAATAGGATCGATCTTCTATCTTTTCTAATTTCTATTTTCGATTGCTATTTCTATTTTTGTAGTGTTCCGTTTTCTAACATTTTCTATTTGCCACAACATTCCTGAGTATTTAAAATATAACAATATACACACACACACATAGGTAGTGGAATTGTACGGGATGTACGAGTGCCTTACTTATGTTAACAGTTATGTGCAATCACTCGAAACGTGCATATTAGAATAATTTAAATTCAAATACAATTTTTGTTTATGAGTTTTCGTTTTTTTTAATATTTTTTTTTGTAAGTTCGTGCGCGCCAAAAAAAAAAAAAATTCTAGCAAAATGTGTCGCATTTTAAAAACGTTTCTTCGTGTGCATTTCTCTTTGGTGCTGTGGTTCGCTTTGGTTTTTTAGTTTGACCCGATTCCGATTTGAATTTGGACTGTGTAACCGAAATGACAAAAGAAAAAACAACAAAACCCCAAACCAAAACAAAAACCAAATAAAACCTATCCGTATCTGTGTGAAAGGAAACAAAAAGCGATTCAAATAAATTCCAAGTGAAATAAAATAAAATGCACAATAAATGCTTAATATTCATATAGAGAGACCGATACAAATATACATATATTTATAATTTATATATATAAATATATGTGTACATAGATATATACATATGCACATAGTCACATATTTATTTATGTGTTGTGAAACACGCGGCATTTTGTTGTTGCCGTTTGCTATTGTTACAACAGCAACAGGCGCCGATAATTTATAATCTTCAGCACTGTGTGCATTTGTATGTGTACATTTATATGAAATATATGCACATACATACATATATAAATATATTCAATTATATTTACATACATACACACATGCATGGGAGCATGTTGAAATTATAATCTTGACATTTATGTTGTTGGCACAACAAAGTGCATATGTATGTGTGTGTGTGTTTTTGCAAAAAAAAAACAATTTATTAAGTTGCACATCTTCTAAAACCAACGCCAATTTACAATATATTTTGCATACCAATTTATTTAATTTAATTTTTTTCTTACAATTTTACAGTTTTTGTAACACTGTGCGTGCGTTTTCTGCTTCGTTTATTACACTATTTCGTTTTTGTTGTTGCCAGTGTAAATTGTGACGTTAAATTTATTTATTATTTTTTGTGTGTGCGAATCTTTCTTTGTGAACGGATTTATCTATGCATATATGCATGCCATAGGTATATGTGTGTGTGTATGTGCATGTGCGTGTGTGCTGCCATGTGAGGCACTCTCAATACAACAGCAGCAACAACAAACAGTTGTCATTATGCCAACAACAACCATGTCAACAACAACAACAACAACAGGAGCAACAACAACTGCGACTACGAAAAAATGAAAGGCAGCAAGCGACAAGAAAACTTTAAGCAACTAAATAAAATTTAGATAAAATACAAAATCAAAAGCCAAACTGCCCAAGTCCACAGCAACAACAACAACTACAACTACAACAGCAACACAACGATAATAAATATGTAGAGCGTGGTTCTGAGAGTAACAACACCAACAACAACAACAACAACAAAACAAAAACGAACAAGCAACAACTAACAAAAGCGCTAAAGAGCGATAAAAAAACGAATTCGCGTTTAATATTTATTTGTTTGCTAATTTATTTTACAATAATTTGGTATTAACCCAAAATACAAAAACAACGCGCCAAACCAGCGAACGGGAGATAAAAACCCAAAAACCCAAAAACAACAACAGCCGCAATCAGTGTTGACAACAACAACAACAACGCATGCGCAACGTTTGCTGTCTTCACTCTCTTCATTGTCGTCTTCTTCTTGCGCCCGGGATAAAAGCAGTAAAATGTAAGTTTTTTCTTTCGTTTCGTGTCTTTATTATAAATATAATATTTTATATATGTATGCATATACTTTTTTTTTGGGTGTATTTTCTTTTGTGCTGGCTGCAGACCGAAAACATGTTTTTAATGCAAATTCAATTAAATTTTGCTGTTAATTGAAGGAGGTTGGGTTAAGCGCGAGGGGCGGAGCAGCAGCAGGAGAAGACAGCGGATTATCCGCTGTTGCTGTTCGTTGTTTACAGTTCATTTGGCTAGCATTCAGCTACAAACAATTGGGCATATCCTTCGCCCATGAAGAGTCCATGGGCCCATGAGCCCATGAGCCCATGAGCTGTCCGTGGGCCTTACCCAGCGTAAGCGAACCATCTGCGCGCTGGCTGAATGAATGACCTTTGACTTTTCTCTAATTGCAGGCGCGATGCTTCGCCTGCAGCCGTTGCGCGGATGCGATTGCGGATGCGCATATCTGTGTGTGTGTGCATGTGTGTGTGTGTGTGAGTGCGTGAGTGCGTGTGTTGTGAGGAAACATGTCGTAGCCGCAGCTGCGGCTGGTTTCGCTTTCAATCGCAATGAAATCCGCATGGAAGAAGCGTCAGTTGATTGGGGATTGGATATTACCAGAATAATAATGCCATAAATCAATTATTTTTTGTGCCGAGAAATACTTTCTATCTTTAAACATGACAAATGCTTTTATATCGTATCTAACACTCAACAAAACAACAACATTTCTGATTTTTCAAGATATAAAAAATATATTTAAAAAAATTAACATTCAATAAAAAAGTTTCGCCCTATTTTTTTTTAAGATAATTGTCGAATAATGAAAAAAAAGTACGTCCATCTTCTATGTTCTGTATTCCTGTTCAGTATCAATAGCAAAGTCAATCTGGGAGACCCTAAGACGTAGGTACTCGAAATTTGAAACGTAGATTCTGCTTTTGCCGCGCAGATAATGTTTATTTCATATAATCGTTATCTTTTGCTCACGAAATCGACAAGTATCGATTTTAGCTTCGATCCTTGGCCATTTCTAGAGCTTGATAGCTTGATACATTTATCCAGTATATTTTATTTGTCTGGATACCTCTGTGCTTTTAACCCGAAATCGATAGAAACGCCTTTTTATAGATATACCCTAGTTACACAAAGAAGAATTTTCTAAATATCACATTTTCTTTTTGCTTAAACAAGTTTTTTGTTTCTTGTTTAGAAAATCAAAGAAATCTTGCTAAATTTTAAATATTCACTTCATGAGATTTTCTGAAATATATGTAGGTTAAATAGTTAGAGCTTAGATTTTGGTTCTTAAGCTTTAAAATAATGATTTCTGGGGAGATGATAATAGAATCAATAACTGCTGTTCGACTGTTCTTAAGTTTCCAAGTATTGTTGAAAGTAAGATCTCCCTGATTTAAGACTAGAAATGCACAAGCATCTTCCAAAAAGTCTCTATCTATGCATATATTCAATATATCCTCTTCTTTACGGACATAAAACTTGTCTTTTCTTTTAAAAATAAATCAACTTTAATGAAGTTCTTCTTCCAACTACTTGTAGGATTTTCTACTTGATTTAACAATTGCTGTGATCACTTAATGCTGGCACATGTGTTCTTTTCTTAATTTTTGCTAACCTCAATCGCAAGATGAAGAGTTTTCACGGCCCATTGAACCAATTGACCTTCACATTGGGCTTATCAGCCGAAAGTCGCGACAAGTTGAGCATTTTGCAAACAACAAATGTTGATATTTATATTGATGATGATGAGCCTAGCGCATGATGATGATAATGATGATGTCATTGGCGTTATCAACTCTGTGTATGTGCGTGTGTTTGTGCCACAGACAAACCCCGATCATTTCCGCCCCTATTCCAACAGAATAAACCAAATGATATTTAACATTTGGCACCCACTCGCCCATGGGAATGACCAAAAATTGTTGACATCCGCGATTCAGAATACGCAGATCAAATGGTTAACCAGCCAGCCAGGCGACCGGCGTGGCACCCAAACTCATTACAGGCATTAGAAAGTGTTACAAACGGCACGCAAATCAAATCAAGCACTCAACACACTCGCACTCACGCTCACGCTCGCACTCGCATTCACTGTGAACATGAATCGACAACGCAACACGAACTCATTTTCGTGAGGCTCTCAATTGCCTAGCTCGTACCCCATCCCTTCCATTCCCCTCCCCAAGCCCTTCCCATCACGTACATCCCGCTGAAATTGTGAAATTGTTTTAGGCAAAAGGCGGCGGCTCTTGCAGGCTTTAATCAAGCGCAGGGCTCATTGGCATTACGGAATTGTGATTGCCATTCTAGAGCTACATTCTACGAACTCTGGACTCTGAGGCTCTTTTGTGGCGGCACCAAAAATGCAAAGTACGTGCTTGGGACCCAATGAAAGTGACCTCAGCTTCCGTTTTGTATTACTTCCAATCGCCAACGGTTTCGCTTGTGCTTTTGATATTCTTGTTGCTTTTTGAGTTTTATTCAACGAACACTCACCACTGCGATCCCAGCTGCAGACACCATCTAGAAGAATTGTGTAATATTCGGTTTCCAGGGGCTATAAAAAAAAGAAGACAAAAAGAAAACGATTTTGTTACTGGCTGATTTTATTGTCAATGCGCAGAGGTTGGGCGGATCTTATGGCAGAACATATTATTGGCCAGAAAGCACAAATGTGTGGTAAATGGTAAATCTCCAACAGACAGAATATTTATATACATACATATGTATATAGTAATATGTTTAAATAATTACGACTTGTTTCTTATTTTTCCACGCAAATATACCCCACAGCTGCCAGATTTGGTATAAAATTCGATTCTAATTTTGCCTGGAAGATTGTCAAACTTTTTTCTCATTCTCATCTTCGTAGAACCTGGCCACATTGAAACTGGATAAAACAGGGTATTATGATTTCATGCCAATGCATGTAACAGGCTACCATAATCTATATTCCTGTTCAGTATTAATAGTCGAGTCAATCTGGGAGATCGCAAGAGGTAGGTACTGTAAATTAGGAAAGAAGATCCTACTATTGACCGCGCATATCAAGTTTATTTCATCTTATTATGTAATCGATAAGTACCGATTCTTAACTTCGATTTTTAGATATAAGTTCTCATTTTGGATGCAATCTCTATGTGATACACTCATCCATAGGAAAGTTTCATAGTAATCATATAATAAATACCAAAGTTATTTTGGAATACATTTACCAGGTTGTTTGGGGCTAAGGAAACCAGAAGCACAGTCGTGTACGTGTGCGTGTGTGTGTGTGTGTGGAATGTGTATAGAGGAACATTCAAATTTTTGCAACTGTAGCTTTGCGCTGGGTATAGGGTATTTCATAGTCGGTCACTCCCGATTAGAGCACTCTTAGCTCTTATTGTTGCGAATATCTATGTATATGTTTAAATATATATTCTCTTTATAGAGGGCAATTCGAATTTTATCAACAGCAGCAACTTGCTGGGTACAGGGTATTTCTTAGTCGGACACTCTCGATTGGGGCACTCCTATTGCTACGAACATATTATATATCTGTTCACCATATAGAGGGAAATTCGAATTAAAGCAACTGCAGCTTGGTGCTGTTTAAATGGTATTTCCTAGTCCTTACTCCCGATTAGAGCGCGCTCATTGTTGCCTGTCTGCGCCAAGAGTGCAAGATTGCAAGGTGGCCCGAATTAGATGAGGCGACTGCAAACGCCGCTGACCCGAGGCCAACCTGCGCTGACCCCAGCGTCTGAAGCTGACCAAAACGCAAAGTGGTTGCTGCTGTTGTCTAGAATCCCCGTTAGCGGGCTCCAACCGAACCTACAACGTTGCGCTGGCCATGCGCAGCGTAGCGTTTCAAGCGCTCTTCCCTGTACCCTTCTCCCTCTCACCGCCTGAGTCGTGGCCACAGGGTGGCTCGCGGGCGGCTTGTGCCGCTCTCTGAGTCATCAGCGCCGCCCGCCTAAACGCAGCGATGCGTCAAAGTGTCGACGAACGTCGCAACGCGGGAGGAGAGGGAGAGGAGAGGGAGGGAGAGAGAATCCAACAGAAGTCGCAGTGGGAATGGTAATTGGGCAGGAACAGGTGCAGGGGCAGGGACAGGGGCAGGTGGCTGGCGGCGATTTGATTGCGGCAGCGCATGTTACGCTTTTGTGGTCATCGCTGTTGTTGTTTTTGCTGTTGTTGTTGTTGTTGTTGATATTGTTGTTGTTGTTGCTGTTGTTGTTGCTGCTGCTCTTGACAGCGGCTAGCGGAAGCAGTAAACAGTTTGGGGCAGCGGCCGCCTAATCGCTGCCGATCGCTGCCGCAACTGGCCCACAGGTGCAGCGGTTGGCTGCCTCATTTGATGCCCATAGCTGCAACAGCAACAACAGCAACAACAGCAGCAGCAACAGCTATTACAATGCGACTTTTTTATTGTTGCTGTTTGCCTCTGCTCGTAATTTACATTATACTCCACGGCCGACGGTCGTCGTTTGTCTTTCTTTATGATGCCTCCACGTCTTCGTTGTCGCAGCCAACGCGTGGAGGGGCGGGCAAATGGCAGGCAAGGGGTGCCGCCTTCTTCCGCTGCTGCTGCTGTTGCTGTTGCTGCTGCTGATATAAGCCAAAGCTCAGTCGACGTCACAGCTGAATGCGTCGCAGCTACTTCCGCTTACAATTGTTTTTTATTATTACACTTTATTACACATTTTATATTCCGTTTTCATTTCTATTTCTGCTGCTGTTGTTGCTGTTGTTGTTGCTGTTGTTGTTGCTGTTGTTGTTGCTGTCGTCGTTGTCGCTTCTGTTGCTGTTTTTGGTAAATGATTTAATTATTTAAAATTTTTGTTTTCGCTGGCTTGTTTTTTTGTTGTTGTTGTTGCTTACTTGTTTCTTGTTTGTGTCAGCCACATTTGCATGTGCGACTGGCCACGCCCCCGCCTGCTAGCACAACGCCCAACGGGCAGCATACTCGTTTATGTAAATGTATATGCATGTATATTACTTGGCATGTTATTTGGGAAAGCATAAAAATAAACTGAAAATTAAACGTTGTCAACCGCAAATGTGACAAGCACTTAATTTTCATGCATGTAAAGTGCGACAAGTGGAGGCCAAAACAGCAGGAAGGCAGCCAGCGCCTGGCCAGGATTGTCCAGCAGCAGCCAAAGGGCAACACACACACACACATACACTAACCCAGCCAGGCGACAAGCTGTTTAAGCCAGGTTCCAGTTTCTATTGAGCGAGTTGCAAGGCTTGCAGCGTATGGAAGAGAACGGAACTTCAAAAAGGGAAGTTGCTGGTTCAACTCTCAGGAGATAGATAGTGAAGGAAGTTAGAGTTCAATTCTAGTACATTCTCATGGAAAGCCATTTACTTTTCTAGAAAAAGATGGAAAAATAACAGGCACTGAGAGGCAAAAGCGCAGGGGAGAGCTGCGAAAAATTCCAGTTTTTCATTGAATAATATTCTGGTTCAATTTCAATAAATAATCAATGCAAGTCGGAGCTTTCTTTATTGTTTAAAATAAATTCGAGATCGTATAGGCTAAGCATGTAGAACACGACCGAAAAAAAGAAGCGATAGAGAGAGGAGAGAGACAGACAGAGATAGACGGAAAGAGAAAGAGGTAGTGAAAGTATATCTATCCATTTATCTATGAATCTATCTATCCATTAATCTTTTGATCTATCTACCTATCTACCTATTAATCTATTCATCTATTTTTTTATCTATCTGTCTATCTATCTATTCATCCATCTATCTATCCATCTTATGACATTTTCCTGTATTCCATTAAGTTTTAAACAAAATTTGCTTATACTTCTTTAACGTTAACTAAAAAAGAAGGTTTCGGGCTCGAGACCCCGTCTAGTAAAATAATGCAAGCCAATTTTTAAAATAGTTCAGTTGATAGCTTGTTATTTATTTCTCCACATACATAATAATATTAATAATATAATTTTATTTTACTTCAAAGAAACCAGAATGAAACATAGAAAAAAGAAGAGAAATTAATATTCTTTATAAATTAATCTATTCAAGTATTTCTTCAAAATTCTAAACTATGAAACTCACAATTCTCGAATGTTCTCACATAGCATCTGCGACAAATTTGTTGGCTGGCCAGCAATGCGTCCTATGCACCTGTTATGCGTGTGTATGTGTGTGTGTTGTTGTGCGTGTGTGTGTGTGTAAAGTGTGAAAGCATATGTTTTTACAATGCTAACGTGATGGAAGCCAAGTGGTGGGGACAAAGCAGAGCCGAAGCGTGTTTTGTGGCTTGTGAATGGCGCTCGTTGCTGCTCTGTGTCGGGGGTCAATGTGCGAGGGGCGTTACGTTGCAGAGGGGTCCAGGGTGGTGGGGACAGGGGTGGGTGGGATGCGGCACTAGGGTAGGGATCGCTCATATTGTGCATTGCAGTTTTTGGTATGCGCAAAATGGAAACGCGTGTTTTTTGCCCGCCACACTTGTCGCTTGTCGCTACTGCTGCTGCTGTTGTTGTAGTTGTTGTTGCTGTTGCTGCTGCTGTTGGTGTTGTTGCTGGTGGCAGCGGCAACGCCGACGCCTCGTTGCCCCTGGGAGCTGGCGTATGCTGTAAGCTGTAGCCAAAATTGTAGAATAGTTATGGGAGGAGGCTGTGGGAAGAGGGGTGGTTGGGTTGACAGCGGGGCTGGCATCCGATACAGCTGTTTGCGGTAGCCAGCGATGTTTTGGTTGACAATTCTCGTTTGGATTTTTGGCCTTTTTATCATATTTGGTTGTTGTTGTTGTTGTGGCTGGGTAGCACGTTATTGTTGTTATTGTTATGTTGGGTGCTGCTGTTAGGGCTTGTTTATTATTCAGTACGTTGCTATTCTGTGTGTGTGTGTTGTTTTTTTTTTAATTTTATGAGTGCAAAACCAACAATAAAAGCCAACAGCAACAGCAACAGCAGCAACAAACAACAAATAATATAATTCCATGATCTTGTTAACCAAAATAAACCCGGTCAGCTTTTAATATGAACTGGCAGATGTGCTTAAAAGTGTTTGCTGCTGAAAACTTTGGGTTACATATGAGCTATATTTTCTTGTTGTGCTCTCTTTAATCTTAAGTTTGTTGCGCTGCATCGCATGATCATGATCGACTCGCTTGACACCATCCAACCAGATGTTCAGTTCCAGGGTTGTTGCGGTGTGCAGCAGCAACAACAACAGCAACAACAACAACTACAGCAACAAAAGCGACAGCAACAACAACGACAACATGCTGTATTGTATTCTGGTTGGACGGGGCCAAGAGTCGAATTATGTGAGAAATGTATTAAAATTTGTTGCGACAGCGAAATGCAAGCATGCCAATTGCCAGCAACATCAGCAACAAGAGCAACACCAGCAATGCCTGCCTCCGCGACCCCGCTACCACGCCCATCGACAACTGGCACCCTTTGCTTTATTCTTCAGCAGCCATCGCCCACACCAATGCCAGCGACTGCAGCGGGGCCAACCTTACTGCAGCTGCAGCTGCAGCAGTTGCTGTTGTTGCTGCTGCTTGCTGTGTGGCATCTTCTGCAAAAGTTTCCCATGAACTGATGGCGCCCTCTTTGCTGAATGGGCGATTGGCCGTGTGACCGCCGCTGACATGTTGCTGATGCCTCCAGCAGCAACAGCAACAGCAGCAGCAGCAACTAATAAGAACAACACAGTAGCCGCATTGTTGCCAGTTGTTAACGTTGTGTGCTGTCAATGATTTTGTGGTTCAAGCAATTCAATTGAAAATGCAATGGCATTAGGCGATGACGACGACGACGACGATGACGATGATGTGAATGATGAGCATGACGGCGCTGAGGACGAGGATGACGATGTTGCTGACTGAACAATGCGAGTCATGGGTGGGCCATGGATCGGACCAAAGCTGGCCGCCGATCACGACCAGCAGGCGGCAGCCCTTCTCATTGTTGCTGCTGCTGTTGTTGCTGTTGCTGCTGTTGTTGCTGATGTTGTTGTCGTGCATTGGAACGTGAGATGGCAGATAAATCAATGCCGGCCACAGCAATGTATGCGGCATTGTTGTTGCTCTACATTCAAAATCATTGAACTAATGAGCGGGCCAGTTAGCGGCAGCCGCAACTGCAACATGTTGCTGCGAAGAAGACACACGGCAGCAATAGCGACAGCAGCAACAACAACAACAACAACAATTGTGATAAGCACAGCCCATAGAAAGTTGAATGACTTCGAAAAAAGCACAGAGACACAAAGAGAGCAAATTTGCGAGTGTGAGAGAGAGGGAGAGAGAGAGAGAAAGAGAGAGAGAGAGAGAGAGAGAGAAAAAGAGAAGGAGCGAGCAGGAGCGGGAGCTGGATCTTATGCCAATTTTGTCTAATCGAAATCGAAAACAAACTGCATTTAAAGTCGCAAAAAACAAAAAAAAAATACAAAACAGAAAAAATCATTCGCTCGAACGGAATACATCGGGGCGAACGTTGACCTCCATTAAACTGATCGTTGTGGGTGTGGCCAGGGGGGGGGGGGGGTTGGCTACTATATGTCATGCTGTCATGTAGATTACAACAAGTGCCCGCGAAGCTATAGCTATATAGACGACGATATATAGCTACAGCCGCATCTTTATGTCCGTTGATAATCGTTACACAGAAGTCGCCTGCCGCTGTCTCCGACCCCGCAGTCCCCTCGTGCTGGCTGCTGCTGTTCCACGTAAGCATTTGGTTTTTGGCTGTCCCTGACATCGGCTCAAGCCAAGCGACAGACGGAAGGAAGGGGGGGCTCCTTGTCATTGTCAGTTGCAATTAATTAAGCTGTAATCATGTCTTGGCCACTAGGCTGGCGGGCCCGTCATGCAATCACTTTCGGATCTGTTGCAATCGACAGACGCAGAGTTCAAGCCGCATTCGAGTTTCTGCAGCAGCAGCTGCTGCAGTCATGAATACATTACAAATGATTCGCACACGACAACACATTTATATTTTAGCTGGCAGTTATGATTGCATTGAAATTCGTTTTTATTATTTATGATTCGCAGTCGAATCGAACTATCCATAGTCTTATCGAGTAACTAGTCATTCAGTCTGAATAGTTTAGCTCCGATGAGGCAGCCTTAAAATAGGTGTATAAGAGCCCAGATACTTAATAATATATAGTCAGAAAAGTCAGATGCGTCACAGTTGTGTATAAAGGCCACACGAATATGGGAATAGTTTAAAGAATTGTTGCTATTTAAAGAGAAAAGAAAACTGTCGTGGGAACAGTTTGCAACACTGTCACGGCAACAGTTAAGCTAACTGACTTGGGAGCACTTTTAATAGAATTTTGGGTATAGTTTTGGGTAGACTGTTGGCAATTTTTAGTATCATGCAGCTTACTTGAACAAAACTGGAGTGAACACTCTACTGGCATAGTTTCAGGCACAGTTTTCAGTTGATGACTGCAATTCAAAAATTTTAGGAAGAGTATTGCGTGAAGTTAGTATCAATCTTGTAAACAGACATTGTATTTTACACACTTGAGTGAACCTGGCTTTTAAGCAGTTTTTGCTAGTCTGCAAAATATATTCGGAATTAGTTTCGGAACAATCTTATCTGGGTGACTGTGATTAGAATAGTTACGGGAAGAGTATTGGCAATAGTTAGACTCATGAGACCATTATTATGAACAGCCTTTGCTAGTGTCTTCAAAATGGGTTACCCTGGTGAATTTGAAACAGTATTTATGGCCAGCTGCACTCTCTTTAACCCCTTCTGCAGGCTTTGCTCACTGCCAGGCCAGGAAGAAGAAGAGCAAAGCTGTACCAAGAAGCCAAGAATTCCCAGAGGATGAACAGATGAATGGGTTGATATGGAGTGTGTTTTTATGAACTGCAAGCTGAGAATTGTTTGACTGATTTCTCGGGTACAAACTCAACTCTATGAAAGCATTTGAAATCCTTTCTGTTTCGCGCTTGGATAATCCTTAGTTTGGGCAGATTAAAAGTTTTCATTGCTCATAAATTTTAACGCACTTCTCGCTATAATGACATAATAATCATTTATTTTTCATTTTTGATTGCGAGTTGATGTTGTCGGGGTTGGTCGCCATTTATTTCACTTTTTTCTGTTTTTTTTTTATTGCCAGAAGAAAACAAGTCAAAAAATTGCGTTTAATTTAAAAATATTTTTATTTTTGCATAAGCGCAAATTATGAACGGCAATAAAAAGTAACGAAACCAACAACAACAATAGCAACAAAAATGCCAAAAATTAATAAGAAGCCGACAAAACTGAAAGATGATTGCAAAAGTCTGGAACTGGAAGCTGGCGCAGACGCTGCGACGTTGACGTTGACGTTGAATTCGGCGCTGATCAGCGGCGACATTGCTTGGCGCTAATTTGAGTTTTGTTGCTTTTTCGGCGCCTCAGCGACTGCAGCTGTTGCAGTTGTTGTTGTTCCTGTTGTTGGTGTTGTTGTTGTTGCAGTTGTTGTTGTCGTCTGGGGAGTTACATTTTGACATTTAAACGTGTTTTTGGCACTTGACGGCATTTTTAACTGGCCGCCGCCTGTTATTGTTGCTGTTGCTGGTTTTGTTATTGTTTTTGGTGTTTGCGTTTTTCTCTTCTTTTATTGTTCAATTTTTATTATCTTTCTTGATTTGCGCTTTGCTGTTTTTATAGCGCTGTACACTTATGTTTTCTGTTTGTCTTCGGTACAAGTTTTCACCACAGTGGCCCACAGCGCCCAACCCTTCCCTAGCCTGCCCATAGCGGCTGCGTGGAACCTGAAAATCTGGTGTCCACTTATAGGCGACATAGAAATTTCTCGGATGAATGCAAATTTTACTTTTATTGTTTCATGTTTTTACAAATACAATACACTTTGATTGCAATTTGGCGCTGTGTTGGGCACACAGATACACACACACATAGATAACATCTGATTGGCTGGTTACCCTGGCTACCCTGGATACCCTCTCTGGCCCACGAGCTGGACCCAAGTGCGCTCCTTGGTAGTGTGGACCGAAAATTGAATGTCAAGTTGAATGCGAAAACCTGTTTGATTTCAAATCAACAGTAGCCCAAATAAAGCAACGCACATCACAGATTGAGATAGACACAAAACATTGCGTGAGCGGGGGCGTGTCGCAGTTGGCAGGCTAAGGCTAAGGGGAGGAGCGGAGGTGAGCGGCTCGTGTTTAGGGTCAGATTGGTTAGGGTACTTTTTTTGGTTTTTATTGATTCGGGCAAACGCTCATCGAGGCGTAGAATTAAACTGTCAAATTCAACAAATAACTGGATTTGTTACATTGAACGCCGCAGAACACGAGAAAATGGGAAAAATATTGCCAGCACATGGGTCGAAGCTTGCCGGGAAATGGCGAATGGCAAATGGCGAATGGCAACGTGGCATAACTTAAAGCTATTTAAGGCGCACCGCACTTCCAGCACATTCGAATGAATGAAAATCCACCACTGATAACCGGGACTATATAGTAAATATATATATATATATATATATATGTATATAGTTCTGTTTTATAAACAACTTTAATCGGCGCTCGATTTAGTTGTTGTTTGTCTCAAATTAAGTTCTATGTAAAAACACAAAATCTCCGGCCAGCTGCTATTTTAGTCAAGGTCTTATATATGGGCTATTCGATAGGCCCAACACCCACGCTTCCTCTTGGCGACAGTCGGCGCAAATGGAAGCGAAACATTTGCGCGTTTTCGCTTAAAGCTCACAGCCTAATTTCTTTAGCACGCATTCTAAAATACAAATACGCTTCAACTTCAACATTAAGCTAATCTTGCAGATGGGAAGCACAAGCACAATTGAAATAGCACCAAGAGCAGGAAACAGCTATAAAAGCACATGAAAGCTTCAATTCAGGTTATTCAAGCACTTTTGAATACTGTTAAAAAAGATTTTGAAAGTACGTTAAAGCTTTTCGATCATCTAGTAGAATAAGCTTGCAGGCAGAGACCAGAAGCACAATTGAAATAGCAACGAAAATAAATATATGCTCTACTACGTTACTTATAAAAGCTTTGATCACCATCAGATTATATTTGTCAAAAGTAAGTCTCAAAAAAAAAAAAATTTGACAGCACGTTAAAGCTCTATGCTCATTATGGAGAGTAGGATTGCAAACAGGAAGCCCAAGCACAAGGTAGAAAAACAAGAGCCACAAAAACAGATACGAAAACACATAAACGCTTTGACTACATTACTTATAAAAGCTTTAATCACTCTTAGAATAAATTTATTAAAAGTCAAATTATGTAAGTCTCTATTAAAAAAAACAGCTTGAAAGCATGCTAAAGCTCTATGCTCATTAAGTAGATTTTGCTTTCAAACAGAAAGCTTAAGCATAATTGAAATGGCAACAATAATAATAAAATGAGATATGAAAGCTTCGACTCGATTAATTAAAGCACACTTTAATAAATTAAAAAGTTAAAGCTTTTCGATCGTATATTAGACGAAGATTGGCAAGTGGAAGCAAAATTAAAATAGCAACAAGTGCAGGAAAACAGCTCAGATAATTTAAGCACACTTTTATAATGTGAAATATGATTTTGAAAGCACGTTAAAGCTTTTTTATCATATAGTAGATAAAGCTGGCTTAAGAGCAATTGAAATAATATGAAAGCGCATTAAAGCTTTGAATAAAGCAATTTAATCACATCTACATGCATAAAGTTTATATAATAAGAGCTTTACTTACTAAAAGTTGAAGGTAGCTGACAGTAAAAATATGAAATATAAACTTTGAAAACACGTGAAGGCTTAAAGCTTAATTTAACAGTTTATAAAGTTTTTGCTGCATTAAAATTAATGTTTAAGATAGATAAACACAGCTTTAATTGCACCACTTTTCCACAAGCAAAAATGTTATGTTTAATGATGATTAATTTAATTTTGTATTCTTTTTTTCCACAGAAATCCCGCAACTGAAGACAGCTTGCATGAGGGACAGAGAAAGAGAGAGAGAGAGAGAGGGAGAGAAAGCAAGAGCGTGAGCGAGGCATATTCACATATTCCTGTACAAGGATTGTCGACCACACTTCACACCACACAAAAAACTGTTGGCGTTGCATTTCGTATTCCAGTTGTCATTTGACATTTATGTCGCCTGCTTTGGGGTGAGTACGAGTACAAATACGAGTAAAAACATGCGCGTATCATAAATTGATATATGTATAATATATATGTAAATATTTTTTGATTTTTGTTAATTTGTTATTTTCGCGTATTTTTCGCTGATAATTTTCAAGCCATAAATTGCATTTATATTGTACTGGGCAAAGCGGGGGCGAAAAAGTGAGCGGGGGGTAAGTGCTGATTGTGAATGGGTGAGCTTCCCTTTTGATTGAATTTTATTAAAATTTTGTTTTATCTTCATTTTTTTTTCGCTGCTGTTTTAGTTGATTAAACACAACTGTTTACGTGCGGCTGTTGCTCGTTTTTGCTGGAAATGCATTTCCAGGCAGAGGCAGAGGCAGAGGCAGAGGCAGAGGCTTTCCACGACACGGCCCTTTCTTTATCACAATTGCCATAAATTTTGAGAGACTGCGCCGAAATGTTTTCGCTGTGCATAAATATTGCCAATATTCTCGTTGTTTTTTCACCCTTTTATTTTTATTTACGTCTGTGTTTTTGGTGCTGCTATCGGCAACAACAGCAACAGTTGCTGCTGCGCATTGAAATAAAAATTACAAAATCCAAATTAATGAACTCGGCGCTGTTAAATTGGTTCAATAACATTTCAATTGCGTTGACATAATTTTAATTAAAATAAAATCGGCTACAACAATAAATGCTACACAGCAAAAAAAGAAGAAAAAAAAGAACTCACAATGAATTTTAAGTGCAGCGTCGACGCCGAGCTTTGACTTCGCTGAGCTGTCGAAATTGGCCGCTAACGGGGTTATCCAACCAAAGCTCAGCTCAAGCTCAGCGCATGGGGTCGCAATTTGCATTTAATTGCATTTACCAGGGCTGCATGCCTAATTCCTGCCTAGCACCCACACTCACACTCACAGCCGCAGCAGTGCACCACATTTATGCCAAACACGCAGCCTGCAGGTGGCCTCTCTCTGCGCTTCTCACTCCCAAACTCACCACTCGCAGTTGACTCTGATTCTGACTCTCTCTGACTCTGGGTCTGGGTCTGGCATTGGCGAGCGAGCGCACCCGGAAGCGATAGCGGAGCAGCCAGATAACTGACCATGTGACCGAATACAGAGAATACTCGGAATACAGAATATAAATTACAGAAAGCAGTCACAGATCGTTGACGCACTTGCCCCTCTGTTGCAGCCACTCTCCCAACAACCACCCACCTTGCTCAGCCCAAGCCAAATCCAATCCAACCACTTGCCCCTGAGCAGATGGCGCTGCTTGCAAGCAAATCGCTCGAAATCAGCAAAAAATTACGTATACATACACATGTGCCTCTACATACATACCCTATAAATATGTAAATTCCCATACCATCTGCATAAGTCGAAGTGCGATGATATAAGCAGAAACAGTTTCAACTTATGAAGACCGAACAAGATCTGTCGCAGCTTAAAACGTTTTGCTTTGCACGAATAACTAAATTTAAGTAGAAACAAACTTCAGATAAAAATACTTACATCCTGCCCTTGGAATCTTGTATAATTCGATCGTAGAATATTAAAGAACACAATTGAACCGACCCATTTGAATATTTGATAAAGCTTGCCAACACACTTAGTTTTATTTTCTTCAATAAAAACTTTTAAAAAGTGCATTTTAACTTGTTTATAGCCTTATTGAGAGCTGAGCTCATATATGTCATCATAACTTACGTTAAAAATAAGTGAACTTAATGATTGACACGTTTAGGAAAAGCTCATTTAAAGGCCTTCAAAGTTAATGAGTTTTCTGTTACGAATATATTTGTTTCTTTTGGGACACTTTTATATGCAATTTAGAACTCAAAAATGCACGAGAAGTAGAAAAATGATTGCATAATTGTCACACAAGGTTGCCACCTTGTTGAAAACACATATTTGTATGCTTTACTGTGGCAACACTCTAGGAACTCGCGCAGTGTCAAGGCTTGACATCAACAAATAATAATTGTCTATTGCACTTTGCATAATTGTAACAATAAAGAGGATCTTTAGATTAAAAACAATCTTCTATAATTTATAAAATTATTCACAAAACAATATATAGTTATTCCAATCCTACAGCAAGATCGTGACATAAAAAACAAATAAGAGTATTATAATGAATCTTGATCGTGACGAGAATCGAACTTCATGCGTGTTGGTTAAGGCTGAAGTTGAGATATACGAATAAACGACGTTTAATATGTTTTTATACCCTGGACCCATTGAAAATGGGTAAAAAGGGTATATTGTTTTCGTGCGAATGTATATAACAGGCAAAAGGAAACATCTCCGAGCCCATGAAGTATATATATTCTTGATCAGCATGTTGCGTGTCAACCGGTCACTGTACCCAGAGATCAGCAGAGGCTCAAGATAGGCCTCGCTCCTGACTAAAGGGAATGTCGTGCTCGACTAACATGCATTCCATTTGGTACCGAAAGCACACTGCGCATGGAGGATCCCTGAGAGTCGGTTGCCGACGCTTTGTTTTGACCCGCTGTATTATATGTCACATATGTAGGATACACGAAGAATCCGCGGGTAATATACGAATCCATGGTAGTAATCCCCCACGGGTAACACGCCATGTTAAACAAATGCAGACTTTCTGCCTGTCCATCTGTCCGTATGTACGAACGCAAGGATCTCAGAACTTGAAATGAAAGCGGGCCCTCTTAGCGCCCGCGCAGTACAGTACGTGTTTGTTTCCGATAGTCGATAACATGCCCCGTTTCCACTTTTCAATGGATAAAAATCGATAACGAAATCCTGCTTTTTGAGCAACTCTCCTAGGCTTTACTGGGCAGAGTCATCAAAGCTGACATTTATCATCCATATAAAGATCAAGTATCTTTCATTTTATAAATGGTTCAGGGTATCCCCCTGTCGGGCCCTGCCGTCTAGAGCGCTTGTTAGTTATATTCAAGCCCAACCACAGCCGTCTCTAGCCTCCCTCGATCTGTGCAGTAATTGCTTAGTTCTGATATTCTGTAAAAGATGTGTGTTTAGTTATTTTGAGAGCATGTCAAGCTGTCGCTCGCTCTCTTTTTTCCACTTTTTACAGGGTATTTTTAGCTGCCCACAAAATAAAAGGGAATATATTGAAAAAATAAAGTGCATGGAGTTCGCAGTTCGTGGCCTGGGTCAATTAATTTAATGTAATAACAATAATAATTATTTATCAATTAAGCAGCTACATTTAATTCAATTTGATGCCGTTGCACGTTTCTGCTGCGAGTATATTTAAATTTTATTAAATTTTATTTGTTATTATTTTCTTTTATTTATTGTAATTTTTGTTGTTGTTTTTGTGTTTTTTGTTTCGCCAACATTTTTACTTAATTTATGCGCAAAAGTTCAATTGCGTTCAAAATGTCAATAATTTGCTGCGGTTGTCGCTGGGTTATTGATACATTTGTTATTGTTGTTGTTGATGTTGTTGTTGTTGATTGTGAACTGTCTCATGAATTTTGCATGCGGCAATTTATTTATTGATTTACTTTACATTCAACTACAACAGCCGCTGCGGCAGCGCCAAAGCTAACTAAATACAAATACAGCGAGTGTCATCCTGCCAAATGTGCCTAATAGTCAATTGGCATTGCCTATACATACACTCACACACACACACACACACACACACACACACACACATGGACTGTTTGCACATTTCCATTTGCTTCACATGGCAAATGAAAACGTGTCAAAGGTGTTTGCAATTTTGCGGTCAATTGGCATTAATTGAGTGTGAACACAAAAATATTTTGTAAATCGTCATTTCACTCAATGCACACGCACATGTGTGTGTGTGAGCGTCTGTGTGTGTGTGTGCTACACAAGGGGCACACACACATGCTCGCAAAATGCGTCGCGCAATATGCAAATTGATTTGCCGAACAATTCATTTGGCAAAATGTGTTGCATAAGCCGCAATGGAAATTTGAGGCCCAAATGGCTGCGGGCTTTAAATGCAGCCGCATTGCCACATTTTTGTTGCAATTGGCAATTTGCAATTTACTCTAAAGCCAAAGTGCAACAGCACTTTGTACTTATTGACTTGCTTATTTCTAGAGCTTGGCGCAAAACAAAATATGTATAACAAACAGCTAAGAGTGCTCTAGAGGGCAGTGCACGACTAGAATTTACCCTAAGCCCAGCGACAAGCAGCCGCAGCACGCAAAGCTCCTTCGTGAGAAAAGGGAGGAGGGGGGGGGGGAAGGGGAAGGTGTTCAAAAGTGGAACATGCTGGATTTTGTCCATGCTCTGTGAGAGTCTAGATGCCAAATTTGGTGTCTTTAGCTTTTGTAAGCTTCGAGATATGCCCAAAAACAGTTCTGAGTTATCGATTCTTGTCGATTTCCTCGAAACGGTGCAAGCTATCGATGTTTGAAAGACAATTCTAGTTAAGTCAGAAAAAGAAGGTTCTATATTCATTCACTTCAAGTCTCTAGCTCGTATAGTTTTCGAGACGGGCGGACCGATGCTTAGAGAGACATGGTTGGTTTTCCCAGGAAAAGATAAAATCTATTGATTGTTGAATAGTTTAAGGAACATTTTGCAATTATATTTTTAGTGACACTTTGAGAAACATTTGAATATTTTTCATAAAGGCAAGCTGCAACTTTTAATGAATGCATTTTTAAAAGCTTTTATGCTTATAAAATACAAAATATTGTTGATGCTACTTAAAAAGTTGTTCTACTCGTTTCGTACTTGGTGTACTTCGTGTAGAAGTCGAAGTTCCCTTCGGTTCGTGAATCTCATTGTTCACAGCTTTTAACTTGGGGCTTGGTTCACACCTTGGTTTTCATATGTTTAAAGAGAGTTTTGGTTCGGGTTTCGGTTCAGCTGTGTTTTCCTTGGATTATTTTAAGGCAAGGTTAAAACAAAGATTAGATATTCTATTTGTTTTGAGAATACAATATCAAGTTTTCTTTTTTTGCATTGTGCAAAATGTATGCCGGCTCGAGTCCGGCAAAACTGATAAAGTATTTTAA